CACCACCTCCCAGCAAACTGCATTATGTATCTGAGGTGATGCACAGCAAACATGCCGATAACTCATGGGAGATTGAGGCATCCTTCCACCACGTGGGCCCTGAGGATTGAATTCAGGTTTGCAGGCTTGGCCAGCCGCAGCTCTTAACCACTGAACGGCCTCACAGGCCCAACAAGCACGTTCCACTTAAGTGTGTATACAGTTTCTGTCCCCAGGCTTCAGTCCAACGCTCAGGAAGCCTGCCACGTCGGCAACCTGACCAGGTCATTCTGCCAAACAAAATCCCCTCCTGGACTGGAGCCAGTGGTCTCCAGAAGTGATTTTTCATCTTGAGATCATGGCAAATGTGCTCCCTCAGAACAAGGGCTTCCCGATAGCTACCTTGGCTCTGTACTCCAGGCCAATCTGGATGCTTGCCAAGAAAGGAATAGAGCTGTTGATCTCTGCCCAGCAGGGCCTCCCCTGTCAGCTTCCATCTGGGTAATTAACCTGCTGGGTCTGTCTCTATCCATGTCCATGGGCAGAGGAGTGGACATCTCTGGATGCATGCCTGACTGCTCTGAGACGTGGCTCCCGGATGACTTCAGAACAAGCTGAGGTCCAAGGCTCAGGTAAACAGTCCTCTCCAGTGTGTCGTGGAGCTGAGGGCAGATGGAGCTTCTGTTGGAGTGTGGGCCACCTGTGCTCTTTGGTTTCTCCTAAGCTTGTCCTAAATCTTAGCTCCCTGACGGCTGAGGGAGGAACCTACTTCAGTCAGTAACTGCTCTCTGTCCTCACTAATAGCACCAAGAGCCTTTTAAGGGAATGGCCTCCCACCAGCCCACACAAACCTCAAGGGTAACCTAGTTTGACCCTTGTGCAGGAGGCACGACACCCACCCCACCCCAGGATGTTAGGAATGCAGCATCAAGGTGAGGAATCTGGTTCAGTTGGTGCTTGCTTAGTAGACAGGAAGTGCCAGGTTCTCCAGCACCACAGAAGCCAGGTGTGGACAGAGGCCTGCAATCCCAGCACTTGGGAAGTAGAAGCAGAAGACTCAGAAGGTCGTCATCCTTGGTACAACCTAGTGAGCTGGGGGTCAGCCTGGGCTACGGGAGACCATATCTCAAAAACGAAAGAAACAAAAAAGACAAAGAAACAAGCTTTTCTTTTTAACTCAGAGGACAATAAAGTATCCTGACTTTCTGTGTAATCAAGTGTACTCAAAGATAAAAAAGAGGAGTGTCAGGCACAAGGGACCTTTCCTCAACTGTTTGGCTGCGCTATGCAATCCAGGATGCTGTTCCCGCCAAGTGTTGGCCTGGCTCTGCCTTGTGAATGGTGCAGTTCAGGGTAAAGCCTGATGCTTCCCTTTCTCTGTGATGCTGACATTCCAGCTCAACACTCCTCCTAGGCAGAGCACCTACTGGGGCGGGTCAGCACCCTGGAAGGTAGGCCTGAGAAAAGTTCTCCAGCAAATGAAACATACTGGATATCTGTCAAAAATGCCTTGGGCTTGGGACTGGAGAGAAGGCTCAATGGTTAAGAGCACTGGCTGCTCTTCCGAGGACCCCAGCTCCATTCCCAGCGCCTACATGGTAGCTCATGCCTGTAACTCCAGTTTCAGATCTGACACCTGCACACAGATGCGCAGGCAGGCAAAACATGAATGCACATGAAATAAAAAATTATTTTTTAAAAATGTCTTGGGCCGGCCGGGCGATGGTGGCGCACACCTTTAATCCCAGTACTTGGGAGGCAGAGGCAGGCGGATCTCTGTGAGTTGGAGACCAGCCTGGTCTACAAGAGCTAGTTCCAGGACAGGCTCCAAAACCAGAGAAACCCTGTCTGGGGGGGGGGGGGTAGTCTTGGGCCTGGGTGGTGCATGCATTCAACCCTGGTACTCAGGAGGCAGGCTGATCTCTGTAAGTTTGAAGCCAGCCTGATCTACACCTACAGAACTAGTTCCAGGCAACCTGCATTGTGGGGAAGCATTAAAAATCAGGATGGAGGTGGTGAACAGGCAGGAGCAACCAGCAAGTTGCCTCAGGAAGCAGCAGGCAGAAGCTATTTAGCTATTTGAGTCTGGGTTTCAAATCTTTATACCTTAGAGGTAGGCACAGTGAATGGCCCCGCGGAAGAGAATTCCAGAAAGACACGGGGCCAGTACAAAACTTGCAACTGGAAACAGCAAGGGCCACATGGGAAATGACCAGAGTCCCACAGGAGAATCACAGGGGCCATGAAAGTGGCCCAGTGGTTAAGAGTGTGCACTCCTCTGGCAGACCTGAGTCTGTTCCCAGCATCCACATTAGACAGTTCACAACCACCACCCGTTACTCCAGTTCTAGGGGTTCCAACAGCAACTGTGGGCAACTGCACTCATGTGAGCATACCTACATATAGATATACTCACAATTTATAAAAAAAAAAATACAAAAACAAAAAACATCAGGCGAGGTTGGTAGTGCTCGCCTTTAATACCGGCACTCCAGAGGCAGGCAATCTCTTCAGAGTTCCAGGGCAGCCTGGTGTAGAGAAACCCTGTCTTGAAACAAGCTCCCCACACACCCCAAAAGAAAATCATTTTAAGATGTTATTCTAGTGTTCTGGCTACATGTATGCCTGCACGCCAAAGAGGGCACCAGATCTCATCATAGATGGTTGTGAGCCACCACGTTGTTGCTAGGAATTGAACTCATGACCTCAGGAAAGGCAGTCAGTGCTCTTAATCTGAGCCATCTCTGCAGCCTCCACAAAATCCTAAAAAAAGAAAAACCAGGTGTTGTGTCTTCTGCCTTTATTCCCAGGGAGGGCAGGTAGAGTAGCCTGAGGCAGACAGAGCCTAGGGTTGACCCCTCTCACTCCCTCTGAAGCTCTAGTTAGGAACCCAAAAAGGCACAGGGTGAGTTGTCCTTGTTAGGATCCAGCAGGAGGGGAGGGGCGTCCTGCCCCAGACACAGAACATTTGCCTCTTCCCTCATCCATAAAGCTAAGGCGGGTCATTAGCACAAGTCATGCTGTCAGCCCTGGGAACGGTGTATAAATGTTTTGCAAATGGAGCTCTTTAGAGGGCAAGGCCCTCTGGAGAAACCCATCCATTTGGCAGGGACTAATGGAAGCAACACTGGAAACTCGTGTGCTAGAGAGAACTCATGGGGCTTCAGGCTTCTGTGTTATTTTTAAATATTTGTTATGTATGCAATAGCCTGTGTGTATGCCTACAGGCCAGAAGAGGGCATCAGACCTTATTACAGATGGTTGTGAGCCACCATGTGGTTGCTGGGAATTGAACTCAGGACCTTTGGAAGAGCAGGCAATGCTCTGAACCACTGAGCCATCTCTCCAGCCCCCTTCTGTGATGTTCTTACCGTAATTCTTAGTTTTGCTGGTTAGTCATGATTATGCCTGAGCTTACTGGTAACAAAAGTCTTTACGGAAAAATTAAGAATTCCTCTGGTCTGTTACTGAAACCGGTTTCTCATTATTGCTTATTCCTGTTCCAAAAAGTGATATACTCCCAAAGAACTTGGGAAGTATCTTAAAAGATGCCATCAAAAACTCATAAACAAGGAAAAGATATGGCCATGAAAGGTCAGACATCTCTGGCACCAGAACATGAACACTTAATTCCCCCAAATATAAGGAATTAACTCCCACTTCCCTTAAAAGTACATGCAGAAACTGCCAGGCAGAGAAATTTAGTTCCAACAGTCAAAGGTACTAACGATTACTATTTTCAGAACCGGTAAAAAATAGAATAACTGTAACCCACTTTTACAAAAGCAATATCCAAGGCACAATATACTGATTTCAGTGAAAACTAATCAGAGCTTAACTCTTACTTTGTAACTACAAGCTTGCTACCAGCTATATCTAGCCAGACATAAACGTTTAGCTTGAATCCTGATATGGAGTAAAGGCCAATGATGTGAAGGAAGTGGGCAAGAGAAACTAAGATGAATATTGATTCTTGGAAAATGACTGCTCACATTCTGCTGCATTAGAACGGCACGAAGTCACCTTGAAAGACTGACCAGCTGGTGGCCAGACTCTTCATTCTTTATCCTTGGCACAAGAACCCCCACTGGATATGGACTGCGAAGTCACTAAGTCACTGGTTTGGAGCCTGGCAGATAACTTTTTTAAAAAAGCAGCATGGTGGTCATTATGTAAATCGGGAAAAACCAGGCTGCACTAACCAATTCACAGGGCAGCTGCACCTGTAAAAGCCCATGGCCCACTCAGCTCCCAGTGGTGCTTCCCAAAGTTGCTCTCAGGTTTATTTCCAGAAAAAGATACCAGTTAGTCCCCGGGGTAGCACCTTAGCCCCAGTACCTAGCAGTACTAGGCTAAGTGGCACACACACAGGCAAAACATGTACACAACAGCCCAAGTGTGATCCTTGGACTCCAAAAAACAGTATCAACTAGGGCTGTCTTCTGAAATTCAGAGATCAGCCTGGCTCACAGGAAGCTTTCCTGGGACTGGGAGCATAGGGTGTCTAGATTTAGCACTGAATTGAAGTGTCCCGAGATCCCAAAACCTGTTTGATGGCTGTAAAGGGAATCATAGTTTTCTTTACTAAGCACCACAGAATGACCCTGGAAAGCAACTTGAGATGCTTGGATACATTAAAGGGACAGCAGTGATCCAAACTGAGAAATGTTGGATTCTAGCCAGAAAAGGGAATGGGGTAGAGCTCTGAAAACAGAACCCACTTAGGGCACAAGAGGGCAAGACCCTATGAAGGTGAACCCTGGAAATAAGCTTGGGGCTGACATGAAAGGCCACCCTGGCAAATCAAGGTGAAATCACCAATGACTAGGAGTGGACTCAGCTCACTCCAGGCCATTGCAAAAGGTTACCCACAACCGGGCTGACTGCCAACTTTAAAGTTGGCATTAGGGTGGCCACTAACAGGCCTAACTCCAGGGAACTGTCCCACTTGTGAGACACTGAAGTTATATTCACAGGAAGCAGCTGCTGGTCCCACCCAGAAGCAAATAAATGCAAACAGATACCTGGTAGATTTTTATTTCTACAGAGAGGTCTGTACCATTCAGTATTTTCAATAGCAGTGCATACCACGCCACATCCCAGCCTAAAAAAGTAAAGTCCTTTTCGGGTCACACACAGCCTTTGGGACCAAATGTATAAAATCCTTATGGGACTGGGCCAGCCGGAAACTGCTGATCTGTTTTTCTGTTTTCTAGAAGTACCTAAAAAGAAAACAGAAAACAAAAGGTTGATAGTCTTGTCTGGTATGAACTGCATCTGCTTGAAGCCCGCATTTATGATTTAAGGTCAGACACCGGGGCAAAATTTCTGTTGAAACATCCCCCCCTTCAAACATGGTGTTCAAATGAATGAATGCACCCTTAATGCGAACTCAAAAGGCCCAAGAAAAACTCCACTGGGAATCTCAACAGCATCCAGAACATCAAGATGTCCAAGAAGAGTTCACACACCTATTAACATCTCCAGAATTGGTTCAAAACCATCAACAGTAAAATCTCACCTGTTTCAGGACATTGAAGTCAAGGAAGATCAGAACACACTGGCATCCATGGCAACCTCAGGCCTGTATAAAGTATATAGATGAAGCCATTATCATAAATGAAACAGCTCAAGGCCAAAACAAGAAATTATTCCCAGGGCCAATGCATCAGACAAAACTGGCTATTAGTTTGAGATCAACAGGGTCGATCTGACGGGGAAAAAAGTTATGTCATCAGCTGCATCAGCCAAATTTATGTCCAAAGAAACAACTCTGTACTAAAAGATGACTTCGAGCCTCTATGCCCAGGGGAGGGGTAAACCACTTACCAGTCCTTTCCTGCTCCAGAATTCATCCTCCATCCCATGCCTACCAGCCACCAGCAAACCTGAAACAAAAATGGAGACAAAAAAAAAAAATCAACTGCCTGGACCACGAGATGCAGCAGTAGCAGGTGCTGCTCACACAGGCATGTCAGGCAAACTGGCTTATTAAGAGTGTGATCAACATGGTCGATCTGATGGGGAAAAAAGTTCTGTCATCATACATGCCTGGAAACCCGAGCCTAGCTAGTCCTGCACGTGTGGGTAGTCAGCAGGACAGGATCCCCCTTACAAGTGACAGTTGCAAATGCAAAGTTTGTAATTTCGGAAATGTCCTTCTCCATTGCCTTGTCCAGGAATCTTTCACCTACACGAGAATGTCCCTCAGGAAAGCTGGCTGTTCCCCAATACGGGTGGGAAACACGCTCAAGGGCCACTGAGTGCAGCAATAAACCTAACTAACCCTAAGTGCACAACTGACTCAACTGGTACACTGTTCACGTGCAAATAATCTGTGTTGTCCCACTAAGACATACAGCAGTGGCCTCAAGCTGGTCATCGGCCCGGACCTACCTACCTCCTGAGTGCCGTGACTTAGCATGTGCTGGGACACTTGTCCCAGACCATAAATTCTACCTAAACAGATTGGGTGAGAATTATGATCACACCACTTTGAAAAATGCTCCATTGAAATTACAGGCACGTGAACTCAAGCTATATTAGAAAATCTCAATACAAAGAAAACGTGCCACAGGCCTGCCTACAGACCAATTTCACGGAATCCTTCTCTCTCAACCGAGATTCCCTTTCCTTAGGCAGCTCTCATTTGACTCAAGTAACCAAAAAATAAACCAACCAGGGCAGGAATCTGCACGCACAAGTTACATCCCCTAGAAATGGAGGTGTAGAAGGAATGTAAATTGAAAACAGGCATTCTAAAAGCATTCTGCAAGTTTCTCTTAAATCTATCCATTCATTAGGATTTACGAGTAGGAAAAGTTCAGAGGCAAGACACGTGCCCATCCCCACTGGCCAAACCTATTACTCCCAGCATTGCATCTTGCGTTTGAATTCCGTATCACGGCCCAAAATAAGGCTCTTAAAAGCACGTGTTTCATACATTAAACCATAAGACAAAACGCACCTTAAGAAACTAGTAAGTCGAAGATCATAGATGGAGTCGTCTCATCTCCCTGGAGGCCCAAAGGTGACGTCTCCTCTCCCTCCAACCCCTGTTCTGCACCGCTTAACCATGCCAACCTGAAAAACAAAGGCGTCAATCGCCATTTTGCCTCGGTCTGAACAAAGCCGACTAAGGCCTTTGGGGCTGGCGTATCAGGATTAACTGGCAAAAATGTTTAAGAGATCAGCATTGTCGATATGACGGGGAAAAAAGCGAAATCATCATTTACACCAGCCAAGTGCTTTTCAGGCCCAACCAGAAGGCGTCTTTTCCATCTAAATCACTTCCCCAAAGGTCAAGCTGGGGCTGGCGCTAGACAGGTCACACCGTGAGATTATGACCAATTACAGAGACCACAGCATAAACTTGGCAAAAGACGAACAGAAAATTGTACCGTGGGGCCTCAACTCACCATCTGAACATTACTCCAACAAGGACGAGACATGACGCACAACAATACTAAAGAAGTATCTCAGGAACGAAAGAACGAGCATGGGTGCCGACCTTCCTTATATAGACCAAGGCAAAGCAAGCGCCTGCGCACTGGACGTCAGGCGCGCCGCTTCCGGTCGCGGCCGCTACGCCTTCTGGGAAATAGAGTCCCGAGCTGCCCGGCCCCAACTCGCTAATGGTTGTTCCTCCCGCGTCTAGCCCCTCCCCAAGCTCACTGGGCCTCCAGGGCTGCTCAGCCTCCGCGCCATGTCGTGCTTGGCACGCACGAGCAGCCCGCCGCGTCCCCCCTGCTCCGGGGCCGGCCGAGACCTGCGGCCGCCCGGGGCGCAGTCAGCCCGCCCCCCGCCGCACCCTCCCGTCTGCGGCGCCCACGGCAGCCGCCAGTCCAGCCGCCGCCGCGGGGGCTGAGGCGACACCGCCCTTCCGCCCGCCCCGAGGGCGGGGGCGCCGCCGAGCTCTGCCCGGCCTCTCGCTGGCGCCGGCGGCACCGCCTCCTCGTCCTGCGCGGCCTCCACCTCCTCCTCCGGGCCGCCCACCCGGCTCCTCGCCCCGCCCAGGGGCTGCAGGGACTGGAAACCGAAAGTGCGCGGCGTCGGGCGGGGCCGCGACCTGCCGGGGCCCGGAGCTGAGTGCTACCCCGGTGGAGGACGCGCCAGAGCCGGTGAGTGGCCTCCACCCCATCCCGCACCTGCTCCGGCGGCGCCTCGATCACCAGCGCCCGACTCTGCCCTGAAGTCCCTGTCTGCCCTGCTCAGCGTCCCCATTACCCCCGGAATCTCTGTCCCCTTCCCTCAGTTTCCTTTTAGCTCAGAGAGTCCCTGTCCCCTTCCCCCTATTCTCCCTACAGTCCCGCCAGGGTCCCTGCTCCCTTCGCTTCCCCTATAGATCCTGGAGTCTCTGCCGCCTTCCCTAAGTTCCTCTATAGTCCCCAGAGTCCCTGTCCCCTTCCTTCAGTGCCCAGTCACCCCCGGAGTCCTTGTCTGCTCCCTCAGTTCCCCTATAGCTCCTGAAGTCTCTGTCTGCTTCCTCTGTTCCTCTACAACCCCCGGAGTCCTGTCTGCTTCCTGAGTTCTCCTAATAGCCCGGGAGTCCCTGACTGCCCCTCAGTTCTCCTATAGCCCGGGAGTCCCTGACTGCCCCCTCAGTTCTCCTATAGCCCGGGAGCCCCTGACTGCTCCCTAAATTCTCCATCATCCCTGGATTACCTGTCCTTTTTTATCATTGCACCCTCAGCATCTAGAATTTTTTCCCACTGTCTTCACCACCCCAAGAGTCCTGCTCCCCTTCCTTAGCTTCACCACCCCCCTCAATCCTCAGTATTGTTACCTGTTATCAGCAGCCCCATTACCCCTAAATCCCTGCTCTCTAAGAGTTTCTATCTCCTCCCCCAGCACCCATTATCACCTGCTGAGTCCCTAGCCACTGCCATTGCCACCCTCCCCCCCTTCAGCTCACCTGTCACCACCCTGTTCCCCCCAGTGCCCCTTCATCTCAGCACCCAGGCACCCCTAGGAGACTTCTTGAGCATCCCGTGAACTCACCAGCAGTAGCTCTCCACCGCATCCCCACAGTCCCCATCCTGGTGATCTCACCACCTCCGTTTCTCATCCCTATCTGTCCCCACTTCTGCCACAGCCACCCGCTGCCTCTGGCTTCATTCCTTTTGCATTCATTAGCATCTGCAGAATGCCCTAAGATCTGCCCACTTCTAGAAGCCCCCAGATCTCTCCAGCTTGCGCTAAGGGATGAGTGGTGTGGTGACTTCTCTGACTTGAAACAATCCAGCTGCCACCTCTTGCTCCACCTCTCTCATCTTACCCCATAATTACCGCTCCCTAATTTCTATCCTGGCAACAGCTTAACCATTGCGGATCTTACTCCTGCCCTCCCTGCCTTGATCCCCTCAAAACCCTAAACAAAGCAGTCCCCTCTTCTGTGTGCCCCTCCCTTTCTAGCACTTTTCGTCTTCCATTTTTTTTCTACACTCCCAAACTGCTGGCATTCTATTTTAGTGTTTTTCAAAATGAAGAAGAAGAAATTTTTCTTCCCAGAAAAATTAAAAACAGACACTAACCATTGAGCCTGCAGTGAGAGAACAGGGTTTGGTAAGCTGAGAAGAAAAGACACCACAAAAATATTCCCAGCGGGAAGAAAAGAGACTCTTTTTCAGATAAGAATAAAAGCTACCTCTCATACAATGCCAAATCTATTCACAGTTTCCAACTATGAATATTTTAAAACTGTGAGGACAGTCTCAAAAATCCTTTTGCTGGGAACTGAGTCACCGCCACCCCACTCCCCCTTGCACCCACATGATATGCGTGAGTTATATTGAGAAGTTCCCTGAAGGGGCTTCCTCTTCCCCCAGCGTCAGAAATTATCGAGATGGAAGAAGGGTGAGAACTGCTGACTTCTGGCTGGTCCCCAGGAAATAGCACCAATAGCTCCCTTGTTTCCAAGCTGTAGGGAGCAGGAATTTATAGACTGCTGTGTCGTAAGAATGCCAGGTAGGGTGGTGGGTACTTTAGTACTTTGTTGAAGCAGGGTCTCCTAGTCCACATGGGACTCAGATTCAGTGGAGGCTGGTTTTGAATTTCTGATCCTCCCAGGAGCTGAGATGAGAGGGTGGGCGTGCACTCTCTAGCTGGCTAGTATCCAGCCTGGAATTGACAAACACGCGCTCCTTTTCCCCAGCAATCATTTTGTAAGAAAGGAAACGAAACCTAAGCAATGGATTAAGTAACTTTGCTGAAGGCAAACCAAACAGTAGTTTGGGAGTTAATGACACTCTGTCCATAAACAGGTACAGGAAGAGTCCAGGAATGCACAGTTGGATCTCTTGGAATCGCCTAAATTGTGAACTTAGTTTATATCATGGTTGGGAATCCACAAGGATGAGTGTTTGTGCCTGTGATTAAAATCTGCATTTACTAACTTACTCTTAGTTAGTAAATCATTACCATGGACAGGCAGAAAGGCTGGCTTCACGGTGTTCAGGCGTTTGCTGTGTTTAAAGGGCACTGGTAACTCTCAGCCTGTGCTGTTACAGATAACTTCAAGGCAGGTGAATGTAGAAGGATCCGGTGGCTCAGACATGGAAGACAGAAGACCACATCTGGAAGCCAGGCCCAGGAATCCCCCTGCCAACCACAGAGGTAAGCAGGGTTCTACCCAGTGGAAAGGAAAAGCCCATCTGGGATGGCCTGTGTTTTTCAAATAAGGATCTTACCAGGCAGAGGTGGCATGGGAGACCGAGATAGGCTAATCTCTGAGTTCAAGGCTAGCCTGGTCAACAGAGTATCAGGACAGCCAGGGCTACAGAGAAACCCTGTCTTCAAACCAAACAAACACGACCTTAGCTACAGCACAAATGACCTGTAAAACTTCCTACCTCTGAGAGCCGTGAATGGGTACTGATGGGAGGCCTGCCATGCCATCAGATGGAAGCATTGAGGGATTGAGGCCAGCTGAACAGTGAGATCAAGGCCATCCAGAGTTCCATAATGAAGCCTTGTCTTAAAAACCCGGGTTGAGAGGTTCAGCTCTGCGGTGGAGTGCTTGCCTCACCCCCTGCCACATAAGGCTCTTGTTTGGTCCCTGGCACTGTGAGGGTGATGGGATGTGAGAAACAAAATGATCCCTGGTTTGCAACAGGGCTGTCCAGTAGAAACTTGTGAGTTTGAGACCAGCCTGGTCTACAAGAGCTAGTTCCAGGACAGGCTCCAAAACCACAGAGAAACCCTGTCTCGAAAAACAAAAAACAAAAAAAAAAAACAAAGCTACTTTGTAATCTCTAATAACATCATTAGGAAATTTAAAAGCAAACCAGTCAGTAACTTATGACATTTGTTTGTTTATGTGTATATGTGCCCGTCCTGTGGAAATCAGAGAGTTTTTCCTTCTGCCGTGTGGGTCTTCAGAACTAAACTCAGATCTTCAGGCTTGGTAGCGAGTGCCCTTATCTATTAAGATGTCTCACTGACCTTGACTTTTTTTTTTAATTTAATGCCAACTTAATAAATATAATGCTCTAATTTCTTATTTTGATCATATCCTAAATATTAATATTTTATGAAAGTTAATGCACATATAGACATACGTGGGACAAAACATTCATATATATATATATAAATTATATATTTTAAAAAATTTAAAGACCAGCTTGGGTTAGACCCGTTTCAGAAAAAAAAAATACCTAGCCAGGCATGGTGGTATATCTCTTTAATCTCAGCAGTAGGGAGTCAGAGGCACCAAATTCTATGTATGCATTTTAAGCCAGTTTATTCTATGTAGTGAATTCCAGACTAATCAGGATTACACAGTGGAACCCTGTATCAAAAAACAAAACCACAAAAAAATAGCTAAGTGTGTTCTGCATCTGATATAGTGAGATGGTCCATCATCTTAAGTATTGCATGTATTTGTAGCTTTCCTAACTAGCTGTGAAATTGTGCACAGCCAGTGTTTTGTAAATTCCACACCACTCTGCTAAAGTAAGTATCTCTGGAACCAGCCTTAGAGCAAAGAGGGATTGTGAGTTTGTCTAGCAAAGGTAGCCCCCTGCATAGGGTGCTGGCTCCCAGGTCCCAGGCACAGTGGGACACCACCCTCCCTCTCTGGCTTCCTTTGTGAGGACAGCAATAGATGGGGGAGGGGAAGAGTGGCTGATAACACACAACCGGAGTTTCGCTTTCCAGTTTCCTGAATCAAAGTTTAAGTTTCATTTTCCTATAAGGAAACTGGAATGTGCGTACTTCATTTTCTCTACAGTCTGTTGGTTAGGCATTAAAATAAAAAACAACTTGGAAGAGGGAGTGCTGTCTTCCTCTTTTTAATTCAAGTTGCATTTCCTGTGCTGGCAAAGGTCAGGTAGTGTTTCCATCATTGTTTCCACTTGTCCTTGTAGCCTATGATAATTGTGGAGTGGAGTAGCCACAGGAACCACAGGATAGTCCTAAGAACAGCTCCAAGCATTTTATAATATATGTTAAATAAATATGTGTTCAAATAAATTTCCCATGTTTATGTCTACATGAAATATTGAGGTATATATTGGCAATATTTACTTTACATTTTTAAGTTACTTTTATTTATTATTTTTAAGATT